GTTTCAGTGACCTTCTTGGCACATCGCCTCCCATGTGGCTGGGCTGCAGCTCTGCCCGTTTCTTCTCCGTCTGGGACTTAGGCTGAGGGAGCCACTGCTCTCGGGGGTGCGGGGTGTGCTGCTCCCTGGCAGAGGGCATGAGCGGGGCCGCTGGTGAAAACGGGCAGTGCGTCTGCCTAGACGTGGGTGTCACGTCCACTTACACGCTCCGGTCAGAGCTGGTCAAATGGCCTGGCCCAGTCTCCTGCCGCCTAACACGCCTGCAGGCCCAGGCGGCGCCCAGAAACCAGCACGTCAGTGTCTCTGCAGAATGCGACACTGGACTTGGAAGTGAACACGTGGACCTCTGCAACTCACTGTACCACGCTTAACCTCTAAGGCAGTGGTCCCCAGCCTCTGCGGCCCCAGGGACCGGTGCTCCTATGAGAATCTAATGCCTGAGGATCTGAGGCGGAGCTGAGGGGTGATGCCCGCGCTGGGGAGCGGCTGCAGATACAGATGGAGCTTCGCTCCCTGGCCCTCTGCTCACCTCCCACTGTGTGGCCCGGTTCCTAACGGGCCAGGACCGGTACTGCAGCCCGGGGGATGGGGATCCGTGCTCTAAGTCACTGAGTACACCCTAGACTGGAATCAACAGTAGTGCATAGCCAGATGGCATTTTTGTAGATCCTCTGGCCGTATATGTGAATGTTTTTCCATTTAATCAGTAACTTTTTCTTACCTCTTAACGTCAGCCGTATGATGCAGCATCGTTTTCATGGTTCTTTTTCCATCAGCGTCTCAATCCTAAAACACATCAGAATTAAGCATTAAAATCCTACTGTAGATGAATGATTTCGCTGAGCTGAAAATAAATCCTTCTGCTGGGGGAGTGTAGACTTTACAGGTTTTTGAGATGAAGCATAGCTCTGGACCTCTGTGACATATCACTTAAAGGAACTCCTGAAGATATACTTCTGACTGTTGAAAGCACTGTATGTTGATATGTATAGATAATACGTTAGCCAGTGAATAATGAACAATCAAATTGTGCTTGGCAAGTTTAATATTGCTTTATTTTGTCTAGGAATCCAAGGCATTGTGGAGGCATATCGGGCCTGTCTTCCTCAGATAAAACTCTATGGACCAACAAATTTTTCTCCCATCATCAATCACGTGGCCAGGTTTGCTGCCGCAGCCACACAGCAGCAGACAGCTTCTGTAAGTGCTGTCACCAGGGGATGGGGAGAACGTGGGTAGTAGTTGCTGCCAGTGACAAGACACTTTTCTATTGATTTGGTCTGTCGAGATACATAGAGTGTGCAGTAATGGCAGAGTCATTCTTGGTTTAGAAGTAGCATCTGTTGTCGTTGAATTAGTTGGATCATTAAAAATAAGAACAAAACAGCCCTTACACCCATGAATCTTTTCTCTGTCTTTTGAAGTAATTTTTTAGACAGGTTCTACGCCCCAAAGATGGTTATCGTCTGCCTTTCTGAAGGTGGACCTAACAAACTAAGGTTTGGAGAGGCTCGCGACGTCGGCCTGTTGCAGAATTACTTGCCGTGCCCGACAGCCCTGGCCTGGGGGGCCGCAGGTGCCATGTCGGTCCTAGCCTCGTGCTCTCACAAGGGCGGCGGGACGAGCCTCCACGGCCGTGGAACGGGCAGACTGAGACGATTCACGTCGCGTGCACGGGGCCCGGGCCGGAAACCACTCAGCACGCTGGCCGCCATCACAGACCTCATTCCCTCTCTAGAGTTACGTGACCCTAAAGGTGGAGTCACGACGTGGTGTAATCTTTACCACTCTCTGAAAGGTTTATCAGCGGTGACAGGATTGAGAGGAAGGTCCCCCCGACCGTATCCGTTCTGCCGTGTGTTTTAGCTTGATAAACAGTTCTTTTTCCACGTGTGATCTTTTAAGAACGGAGTTGCCACTTGCTCCGTCCATCGATTCCTTGACCCGTTAAAAACTTCCGTTGACTCCCAGCGTCGGGACCCAGGCTACTGACTGTAACCTCGGATGTGTCAGTGTCCTGCTTCCGTGGTTTGCGGCCTGTCGCGCTTTAATGAACCGGGGCTTCTGCTGTCAGTGAGCCCCCTGGCCCTCAGAGAGTCTCATGGCATTGTAAGCGGACGGTGTCCTGGGCGGGGACGGGCAAGGAGGATGAGCAGGAAGGAGACCCGAGCTGCATGTCGCCGGCCTCTGCCCCGAGTGGGGAGCACAACCCGCCCAGCGGGCGTTCTTTTCTTTCTTGGCAGCAATACTTCGTGCTGCTCATCATCACCGACGGTGTGATCACGGACCTGGACGAGACCAGACAGGCGATCGTCAGCGCCGCCAAGCTGCCCATGTCCATCATCATCGTTGGCGTCGGCGGCGCTGACTTCAGCGCCATGGAGTTTCTGGACGGTGACGGTGGGGGCCTGCGCTCCCCGTCAGGGGAGACTGCCATCAGGGACATCGTGCAGTTCGTGCCTTTCAGGCAGTTCCAGAATGTGAGTGCCGCCCCTTCCGTTCCGGGGCCGTGCCCGGTGGTCGTGCAGGGGTCTGGGGCATTAGACCCGGGCCGTCTATGCGGGGAGGCGGGCTGGATGGGCGGTTTTGCTGCGGGTGGCGAGCTCGCGTGCCTCGTGCAGTCTGAGGAACTGTTCGGCCCGTGCTGTGGTGAACATCTTCACCTGTGTGATAACAGACAGCCACACCTGCATAGGTGCCACAGCGCTGGTGCCAGGGGAGAGCCTGAGAAATGCTGGCGGGACAGGGCAGCCTGACCTTGCTTGTCCGTGTTCACGGCTGTCCTTGACCGAGACGCAGGCCCGGGGCTGGGGACTGCTCCTTTCTGCTGCCTGGAGATGGGCCCCTGGTCTTCTGCCACATGCCTGTGGGATCCGGTCACCATTAGTCACTGACGTTGCTCTGCTTTCCCAAGGCTCCCCGAGAAGCGCTGGCTCAGTGCGTCCTGGCGGAGGTCCCCCAGCAGGTGGTGGGCTACTTCAATACCTGCAAGCTCCTGCCCCCCAAGAACCGCACCGCCCAGTGAAAACGCTCCTGCGCCGCACTGCGGGCTGCCCGTTTCCCACGCTCCCCAGCATCCGTGACGGAAACCGAGTCCCCGTGGACTGCGTCTCCTTAAAGCATTCTTTTATACTTTTCTTGGAAGAAAGTGCTAACTTAACCTTTGTCCAATCAATTCAGTGATTGCTAGTGATTAGAGACTCGCACGAGGAAAGCCGCCTTTGCCATGGTGATTGTTTGCTCTCACAGGATGAAGATGCTGGTTGGAACATTCGTCAGTAGAGAGGATGAAGACTTGTTGGGGGTGGGGGAATTTCAGGCCGCTGTGCTTCGTCGGCTCGAGGCCACATGTGCTACAAGTCAGTGTCCGTCCCCGGTGACGGGCGCTTCTCAAAGCAGACGTGCTGAACCTGTCCCTGCAGTTGCTGAGTGCCTGACCCTTGCCCAAGTCTCGCTGCGGCTTAGCCACAGCACAGCTCGCCCCAGCAGCACCCCAAGACTCTCCGAAGAGCGCAGACGAGGACAGGCACCCTTGCACTTCTCAAAAGGAAGAGGAGCCTCAGGAACGTGCGCGGCTGTTCCCGTGTGCCTTTCCAGGACCCGTGTCTGCACGGAGGGCAGGCCGACCGGGCTCAGCGTCAGTAGCGTTTTTTAATTGGAGTTTGTCAGAATGGTTACGACTGCCTAGTCCAGGAAAGCTACGAGGACCAGACGTGTAGAGAAAACTGAGAATCCCTTCCCTTTTAGCCAATGAAGACTTTACTTACTAAGAAAGGACAATTTTTATCCTTGCTGAGGTCCTATACATTGATTAGTACATTTCTTCACATTCGTGTAGACATTTTTTCCTGTTTTCTTTAGTTACTCTTTTAGTCTGGTTTTTAAACTCATGATAGTGGTTGTCTATTAATCAAAATCATATTTTGCATTTTAATAATGTGCTATTTCCTAAGCCCAGAATGTACTGTATTAAGCCTAAAACCTGTTGCAACTTAAAAAAAATAGCCAACATGCTCTAAGAGCAGAATTCCCCCTTTCAGAATACATTACTCAGCAAACGCTGTCAGAACAGTCAGTAATGTTTTATTGAGGACCTGTGTGCCAGGTACCACGCATACCCACATGTTGGCCAATTATCTTGGATAATTTGACATGAAAATTTGCATGTTTGTCATGTACCCTCAAGGGGACACGCCCAGTGCCATGCCAGCATGCCTTTCGCTCTTTCTGAAACTGCGCCACGGCTCTGGTCTCTTGTTCTCTGAGATGTCTGAAGGACGCGTGAGCCTCGGCCAGGCTCCGTCTGAGAGGGGAGCTGCCTGCTGTCGTGGTCACCCAGCCAGGCGGGCAGTCACCGCCTTCCCGCTCAGTCCGCTGGTCCCTGGCTGCGCGCTGCTGACCTGAAGGCGCCTGACTGGCCGTCTGTACTCCAGGGAGCGGCTCCTTGGCCGGCAAGCCCTTCTGCTGTCAGTTAGGGGAGGGGACTGACGTCCCGCCCAAAGGCTGGGGCCTGCGCTGTCTCAAGTCCTGGTTTGGGTCCTGCGCCTGGGAACAGCACGTGCGTGCCGCTGTTTCAGAAGTTCCTTCTGCAAACACGCGAAGCCTTCTAGAAAAGGTTCCCACACGTTCCCCACGCCTGGTGAGACGCTCAGGAGCAGAGCCCTCGGTTGGGGTCGGCCGGGCTGCACGCCACTCCCCGGGCCTCCTCGTCACCCCCTCACCGCTCCTCATGCTCCTCACAGCTGTGGCCTCTGCAGGGCACTGGGGACCGCTGTCGTGGGTGCTCACTGAGGTCACTGGCCAAGCACGGTACTCTGTCACCACCATCAAATTGATTTGGTCTTCATAGTTACATCATCTGTTTTAACCAAAATTGTTCCCTTTTAAAATTAGTTTTTTGTTATTCATTCTTGATCGGGTTCATCAGTAGATGCTGTTATTCATAAGAACTGTGATTCCAGCAAATTAAGGTAATTGATACCTTTTTGCAGTTTTGAATAAACGCATTTACAATTTCTAAATAATATAAAATTCATACGATTTCGACGTTTCACCTCATTGCCTGCTGATTTAATATTGTTTTATATTAAAAGTCATTTTCCCTGTTGTGCCACCGTTCATTCAAGTGCCATTAGTTCTTAAAATGCCTTTACAGAAAACACAAGCAGTTTGCCTTCCACACCTCCCAGCATGAGACACACTGCGAACGCGTTTGGCCTGACAGCGCCCCGGGCAGAGGCACGGCTTCTCCCCTGCCCGCTGCTAGACGGTGCGCCAGCTAGCACGGCCGCGCCATCGAGCGCTTGGGACCGAAATGGTTACGGTCCCAGGTTTAGTCTCAGGGTGACACTTGTGCCCTGTGCCGTTTCTCCGCAGACTTCCCAGAGCAGATTCAGGGCCCAGTGCTGCTGACGCTTCATTCCACGCGCTGTGCCCTTTTCATTTTGTAAACTTCCCGGAAAGCCACCTTCAGTAGACGCCTCCTAATCTACGTGTGCCATCGACGGTCATGGAAGTGACACATAAGCGAGAAGTTTGGCGTTAATTGCGAGAAACTATTTTGTGCTTTTTGGATGTCATACTCGACAGTGTACAAGTTACAAATACATGAATTGATGTTGAATATATCTCCCATTTGAGATCCCTTTGGATAAAGTTATTTCTTGATGTGACACACAAGAGTGCCTTGTTCTCATTTTTTTCTCTGGTATCAAAACCAGTAGAAAAGTTAGAAATAAAGTGAATGTAGAAATAAAGCAAATGTAGTATTTTATTCTGTACTCTATATGTTACTGAATTAAAGGGTTTAGAAGTTTCATTATTTTATGGGCTTTATTCGTTTAAAAGATACTGACTACGTTCAAGGCACTTTGCTGGGTGCAGAAAGGAAAGGTTCTCAGCTTCTGGCGAGGGTGGCCTGACTGCGGTGCTAATGTCCACCAGTCACGTCAAACAGGACGGCATACCCGCCTGATTTTTTTTTGCTTTTATTACACTGAAGTCATTGGACAAGGTCTTGGGGTACAGCGGTGACCTAGGCAGCCACAGTTGCCGCTGTCATAGGAATAATGGCCTGCAGGACAGAGAAATTATGAAATGAGTAATTACAGAGACATGAAGTTTGTGTGTGATAACATTGTGGGGACCTGACCCATCTAGCTGGCAAGGAACACGTCCCTGGGGATGTGCCTTTTACGCCGAGACCTGAAATCTAGCTGGGTGACAAAGGTGAAAGCATTTATGAGCTGTCAGGTCAGCAGCAGGTATGGAGTTGAATGTTTTAGGCAGGAATTTAAAGTGTGGGAGGGAAAGTGGCAGGGAAGCGTGGGACATGAGGGGGAGCGGGGCCCTCTGGGCTGTGCCGGGGGTTCACACTTGGGCCAGAGGTGGCTGCCACATGGACTCACACAGGGGGCGGTGGATCACATTTGCATTTGAAAAGCTGAACAGCCGCACATCCGTTTTGTGACAGACATGAAACGCTGTTGCGACGTGGTCTGACCTTAATGTCTTCGCCTTAGTGAGGCCCTGATGAGGGAGTCGGTGTCACCTCAGGCGGAGACGCTGCTGTTAGGCCACATGCTTGCTGAGTGTCTGCCTCTAGGTCAGGTTCCGAGTTCCATGCCTTCGCCACCTCAACCTGCCCCACGTCACACGAGCCTTGAGGCACACACCCTTGTCAGTTTGGATGCTAGCTCATGCCTGATGATGACACAGTCTGGTGCCAGGGCTGCCAAACTCTTGCTTGTAGCAAGGACCTCACCCTTGTCACTTGTCACCAATCATGGCTACTTTTGGCTAAATTCCTCAGAAAACTCAGCAGGTTGCAGTGTCCTTGGAGAATTACACTTTGGCTTGGCTGAAGATTCTCTCCTCCCAAGAAGAAATGATCAGTGCAGCAAGCACCATTACGAGCTGCATTCTGCCTTCTTACGACGGGAGAGGAGGCCATGGGATCTCAGGTCTTCACAGGCAGACTCGCCAGGTTCTAACAGCACCTGGTCTATCCGGGCTGGACTCAGAATCTCAGGAGTTGGGGTTATTCTGGCAATCAACGGGTGAAGTCAAAATGAGCCAAACTTCTTCCTAACTTCGAAGAGCAAAGTGAAGCAGCCCTTCATGCTTCGAGTGAGATTTCCCTGTCTGCCTCCCTGCATCTGCTGTCATGAGCGCAGAGGGGACCCCTGATCACTGCTTCTGGCAAGCTGCTCCGCCCCCTTCCAACAGTCACGGGCCGGTCCTGCAGCCATTATAGGGAGCCCCATCATGAGCCTCCCCTCTGGCCCCACCTGCCACCTCTGCGCCCTCCATGCTGACCACGTCCCACTGCTCTGCCCTTGGGAACTGGGTCATTCATTAGCAAAACTCTACCAGTGCTTTTCCATGCTTTGATTCTAATTAAGCCTGGCTCTCCTGAGGAACCCCCTCCCCTGCAGCCCGCTCAAGTGGCAGCTCTCTCTTCCGGATGTCCCGCTGGGTTTGGAGGCAGGTGAGTGTCCTTGGTCCTCTCTTCTGCTCTCAGATGGCGTTTGCCTCCGAAAACCTGCAGCGTGGCATCTCGTCTGCCGAGCTCACTTGCTATGCCTCCCATGGCCCTTGTCCCCCACCTTCCCGAGACCCCACTCCCGAGGCCACGCCCTCCCAAGTCTCAGCCCCACGCACCCCGGGTCCCAGTGAGAGCCCACTCTCCAGCTCATCGTGATGCCCCGGAAGCACTGTCCACCAGCACCTGTCTCCAGGACCGGCCAACATTCGGCGGCGCCCCTGGTGGCCCCCTGCCCCTCCCGCTCGGCGAGGGCTCTGCCGCTCGCCCTGGTTAAAACCGCACCTCCGTCCCCGGTGCCTTCCACCCCTCCCCTGTGCGGGGGACTTACTCGTCTTTTCCTCTCCCCCACTTGCATGTAGGTTCCAGGAAACCGAGGCTTTCTGTTTCCTTTGTTCCCTGCTGCATCCCCAGAGCCTAGAGGAGAATGTGGCAGTCAGCGGACGCTCCCTTGCAGACACGGAAGCTGAAGGTCACTTAGTTATATGACACAGAGAAAGCAGAAGTCGTCCAGACAGAAATGACAGTCAGCGGCTCGAGTCAGCGAGTAAGGTGGCCTGGTGACTCTGCTGCCACGTGTGCTGTCACAACCCTTTCGTTCCCTGACCGAAACGCTTCACTCTCTCTTACAAATGGAGTTACCAATGCCAGCTGTACCCCGCTCCCACATTCCGATTCCAGTGAAACCTGTGGGTGGTCCCTTTCCAAAGGACAAGCTAAATCTGGAAGCTTCCTCTCCGATTTGGAATATAAATAGAGTCCTCAAATGGCGGACTCGACCGTTGTTCTGCCCATGAAATCTTGGGGAATGTATCGTTTGAAAAGGTCCTCCTTCAGGTGGATGCTACGTCTTCCACATTGGTCCCAGATCTCCATTTCAGAATACTGTGGGATCTTCGTCCCTGGGCTCTGCCCTACCTTGCGGTGGTCAAGGACACAGGACCGCTTTGTGATTCGTACTGCGGGGCTTGGAGTAGGAACCTCTACATTTCCTTTCAAGTCAAGAGTCTGGTGTGAACCATGACTTATTTGAAGCTGGATGCCAAACCTGCGCCACGAGCCCGCCAGCGGGCCTGAGCACGCGCCGTGTCTGAGGATTCCAGGCGGGGGCCACGTGCTGGCCGCAGCGCCATCGTGTGCAGATCAGCAGTAAGAGGGGCTGCGACCTTTCCGGGGCCTCGTTTCCCTCACCCGAGGGGCTTACTGTCTAGAAGTGTCAGGTTGTAGTGCTTAACGATGCACATTTATTTGACCTTTGCACCATTGCTTCTAGCCACAAAAGTTATAGCAGGAAAAATGCAGCCAGTCATCAAACTCATAGAGAAACATCAAGTTTTACTACAGTGTATGGGTAAGGTACTTAAAACATGAATCTCAAGTATCTTTGGTCTGAGTAGATATAATAAATTCCAGAGCAGCGTAAAGATTAATATCTTCCAAAGACTTAAAAAATTCCCCACAGGGCGGTAAAGAAACTATCATACGGCATAGGCCCAAATTACAGGTAGCGCAGATGCTTCTCCCTTCGGCGTTCGGTGCCGCAGCTCTGCTCTAACGCGTAGCTGCAGGGGCAGAATCTGCCGTTTACCATTTTAGGGTTATTTAGGACCAGTGTTAAGCCAACAATGGTTCCTAGAATACGGGGAAGGGCCAAGCCACTCTTTTCCCGTGTGCCTCTGGAAAGCTTTCAGCTCATTCAAATGCAACATTCGGTAGTTACACACTTTAAAGTAATTTCAAGTTCAAAGTTCTCTCTTTTAGATAATGGAAGGTTTTATTTTTGACATGCCGTGTGTGTACGGCTGCCAAATTTAGCAAACTAAAATACAGGACATCGAGTTAAATTTGAATTTCAGATCAACAGCGAATAACATTTTAGATAAGCAGGTAATGATGTGGTCAACGTCTGTGGAGGTGACGATCCAGATTTCAGCTACGGTTCTGCCCCAGGTTCAGTGCTGGGAACCCCTCCCTGCCCGTGATGCACCTGACAGCTGAGCCGACACCATGTGAGGCTGGGACTCACTGCCCTGCTCACAGTGCTCCCCGGGTCCGTCACTCCGCAGCCCCCATAGCCCGTCTCACCGCCGCCTTCAAGTCCCCACGACATCCCCCTTACCCCGTCCCACGGTCCCTCTTCCCCCTCTCTCCATCCAACACCTGTCTGCTACCAACCTTCACGGAGCCGAGTGCGTAGACTGCTAGGGCTGCTGTGACAGAATGCATAGAATGGGCGTTTAACGACGGAGATGTATTTTCGCACAGTGCTGGAGGCTGGAGGTCAGGATCAAGACGCTTGAAGGGCTGGCTTCTCCTGCGGCCTCTCTCCTTGGCTTGCTGTCTTCTCGCTGTGTCCTCACACGGCCTTTCCTCTGTGCACACATCCCTGGCGTCTCTCCTCTTCTCATAAGGACAAGGACACCAGTCCGACTGGATCAGGACCCCGCCCTATGGCCTTGTTTCACCTTCTTGGCCTCCTAGAGACCCCAGCTCCACACACAGAGACACTGGGGCTCTGGGCTCCCGTGTGGGGGTTTGAGGGGCACACAGTCCAGTCTGTAGCACCGGCTTGCTTAGCGGTGTCTGCAGAGGTCAGGTGCAGGCCTGCCCACGTGCAGAAGCGAGCCTCGGGGGCAGGTCGGGCCCCAGGTGGCAGGTGGAGCAGCGGCTGTGTCTACAGCGGCTGCTGGTGAGGGGGAAGATCCTGGCGTTGCTGGGGCTCTCGCTGCTCCCCGAGCTTGTCACTAGACACCACACTGGACCCAGGCGCACGGCCTGTGTTAGTCATGCTTCTCAGTCCACGGCACAGTGTCTCGTTAGTTGATGAGCCTGACTACAGGTTTTCACACATCACCTGTGCCCATCACCACGCCCACTTCCTGTCCCCCCCGTCACTATCTAACGTGCTTAACGTAGTTCCTTGGACACGCATATACTTTTGAAAGACATACAGTGTTTCGCATGGGTTTAAACTGGGAACCTGCAAACACTGCTTTTGTCAACAGCAAAAGGACACAGTGCTGGGAAACTCTTCTCTGAGATCACAGATTGTCAGAAGTTTCACTGTGTGAAACACTCTACTCGGTCTGGAGGCCGAGTCATTCTGACAGAGTGGCGGCTGCTACACACCTTCGGACGAGGGGCTTCTGGCCACTCGGCGATGTCTGTCTCCGCTAAGTGGTTTCCAGGGAGACAAGACCCCAGACTGAGTCTGCGGCTGATCCCGGTCTGACATCAGCTCCTGCCCTGGTGTGAGCCCCCTGCCGAGCCTCTACCTCCCCACCCCCATGTCCTGTGACAGCCCTGCCCCGCCACGTTCGGTGGGACACCCATGTCTCCTCGGGAGAGTGGTCCCCCTGTCGCAGCAAGTGCATGAACTTGGCTTTGCTGGACTACTGGTTTGTCCCTGATAGTTGTTACCCGATAAGCTTTATAAAAACCTCCGTGCATGGTGTTACTGAAGAGTTCATTTTCTTTTCTCACTTAAAAAAATCCACTCTTTTTTTTAAAAAGACCTATCCACCTATCCAGGTTGTTATGTGTAAATAGAATTTATGACTTCTAATGGGTGGATAGAATTTTATCTTAAAAACACATCCACGCCCCACACACACCACATTTTTTTTATCCATTTCCCTGGTGCAGACGCCAGAGTCGCTGTGGCTCCTCTGTGCCACAAACAGTGCACTGCCCCCTGTGGGCCCACTGGGGGTCCTCCGAGAGATGCACTGGAGCAGCACTGTGAGTTCTCCGGCACCGCCGGACGTGGCTGAGCGCTGCCGGCAGCAGCTCCAGCTTCCACACTGGCCAGCGAGCGGTATGAGGCTCAGCTTTCGAGGATGTCCTGACATGGGTAAAAGGTGGTATGCTAGTACTGTTCTGATCTGTGCTGCTTTGAGCACAAGGAAGTCAAGCATCTCTTCTATGACAGTTACCTATTTATTGTGTTTCCATAAACTGCCTTTTAACATTTCCCTCTCTCTTTAAAAAAATGGGCTGTCTTTGTACAAATAAAGCGTAAGAGCTAGTCTTTGTCTTATTATCATTTACAAGTGACCAGAAATTAGAGAACAATGGAGCGTTTATACGTAGTACTTCCTCAAGTGCAAAAGATAATCTCTTGCGATTAGACCCATCGTGGGATGGAGTTTCAGAGGCAGCTGGCAGAGGCTTTGATGTACAGGAAAGAGGTAAGTGACGGAGAAGGGACGATGTTCCATACTGTGGCAGGCGGCATGGACAAATGCAGAGGAAGAAAGGTAGGTGGTGGTTCCTGAAAAAGCAGAAAGACCGACTCCCACGGAGGGTCTGGTGGGGGTGGCGCTGAAGTCAGGGCAAGTAGCATGTAATTGGTAGGGGGGACATGTGGGCCCCTGAGCAGACAAGTCACATGGTCGAAAGTCACCCTCCCCAAATTCATAAATGGAGACCCTAACCCCTCAAGATGATAGCGCTGGGAGAGGGGGCCTCTGGGAGGTGCTCTGCCCCCACCATTGGGACCCGTGGTCCTCTCGAAAAGGCTCCAGCGGGATCCCTTGCCCCTTGGACCAGCGAGAACACAGGGAGAAAGAGCCTGCTGTGTGCGGACCAGGGAGGGGGCCCTGAGGTCCGGGACGGCCCGCCTCCAGAACTGTGAGAAGCTCAGTTCTGCTGCATATAAGCCGCTCAGTTTGCGGTGTTTTATCACAGAAGCTTGAATGGGCGAAGCCAGTGGTGTTTTAGAAAGACCGAGCCGGTCGACTAGTGATTAGAGCAGACTGCGGGTAAAAAGTCGGTGTTTATTTGAGGTGAACAGACAGCATGCATGCGGTGTGAGCACCGAGGCAGCCAGGACCATCGGCTCTGAGAGAGAAGAAGGGCCTGACGACACTGGGGACCACGGGAGACTTCTGGACTGACTACTCCTCGGCTGTAGTCGGAGACTGGAAAGGCGGAGATGGCGCTATCTGAAGTGGGGTAGTTTGGGAGTGAAATGGGAGACAAAGTGTGGGTGCAAAGTTCCTGGCGCCCCGTCGGAACTACGGGGGAGGCGGACAGGGCACCGTTCTCAGCTCAGGGCCTCTCCCCTTGTTTTCCTGACCATCGGACTCTTCTCAGGCTCTGTCCGCTTTTCTCCCTGGCTTTTCTAGTCCCTGCTTCTACGCACAGATCTCATTGATCGCGTAAGTGTTATTCAACAATTTCCCTACTCCCCCTTAAACTCTTCGAACACCAACGAACCTTTTGTATAACTTGCCATGTTTTTACGATACTTGAAAAACTAGGTTAAAAAGTGGTGACTCTACTAAAGGATCCATTTTATCATAGTGACTGATTTATACCTGGCTTGCTGAATGCATCGACACTGCAGGCTCTCTGGCCACTGTACCTGGTCAAAACCCTCTCAGCGAAGTGCTGTCTTGACGACCACGCGCTGGGGCTTGGAAACGGGCTGCTGTGCGGACTCGATGTTATGCGCTGACGGCGTGTGTCAGAATGGGTTGGTTCCATGCGTGCTGTTCCTTCCGACGTCAGCCTGGCTTCCTAGCCTCCCCACAGCGTGAGACCTGGGTGGTTACACCAGTGTTGGCAGATCTGGGAGGACAACTTCCTCAAGTGCGTCCGGTTGACCTGGAAACTCTGTAAACAGCACGCGTCTCTCCACAGCCTCAGGATGCGTCGGTCTGACGTGTGCGCCGTCCGCCCTCCTAAGCTCATCACTTTCACAGATGCTGGAAACGGGAGGCTCAAGTCTGGTGCCTGCTGGACAGATGCTTGAGAATGGCCGAGACGTGTCCTGTCAGCCTCTATGGTGATGGGGACGTGTGAGGCCTCCCGTCGGTGTCTGCTGGGCCCTTCAGGCTGCTAGGAGGGAAGGTCGGAGCGCTGGTTGCTGCCCCCCAGGGCATGGCTGCTGCAGGGTGCCGCTGCGCCAAGCCTCCCCAGGGCTTCCGGGCCTGCCGATGGCCTGGCCCAGGGGCTCTTGGGCATCAGCATTCTGCAGGCCCTGCAGCCGGGCCCCTCAGCGACACCTCGCCGTGTCTGAGTGGCAGCCACCTGACTTTTGACTCTGGATTAAAGTCTCACACTCCCCTCCACTAAGAGCTGGCACGAACAGTGCTGTGCGAGACGTTGACACGCACACAACCGAAGAGGAAAGATGTTAACGCGCACACGACCGAAGAGAGAAGGCTGGCGGGTCGGAGCCAAGACCAGGCTAGTCGGAGGGAGGAGAGAAACGTCATCAAGAACAAACAGATAATGGAAAACCCACCACGTGCCATCGGGAGCACTGCTGCTGCGCGTGACACAGCGAACCCTCGTCACCGGCACGGGGTGCGCCCTCGGACACGTGGCCAGGGGCCGCCTGGGGCTTCTCGACAGTTACTGACAGCAGGCTGCGGGCCTGGTCCACCTCTGAGGACATCGAGACACACAGCCCTTTACTGCTGAGCCTCTTCTTCGACTTCAACTGTCAGCACCTCTTCCCCGGCCTCGGCGGAGGGAGCCATGCTGACCACGAGTGACGGCTGGGCGGCGCCTCTAGGCCACGCGGCCCTGCTAGCTGTGACGGGAGCCGCGCTGTGCGTGGGTCTGCCCGTGGGTCCGCTCCCTTGACCTTCGCTCCCTGTTCCTTCACACTCTCCTCCCTTGGAGCTCCGGCCGCCGTCCTGGAAGAAGCAGTTACAAAGAGTTGGTAGCGAAATCATGATCAAGGACACTGGCGTCTTTTGATTAATACACGAGGGCAAAGGTCAGCGGCGTAAGGCTGTCGAGCCTGCCGTGCGCGCATCACCTGGGCGAGCTTCCCGATGTGCCCAGAGCCGGCCCCAGCTTGGCGTCTGGCTCACGGTATTGGGCTGGGCTGCGTTTTTGTCCCTGCTGAGGATTCTCTCCCTGTTGGTCCTCACGCCCTCTGAATTAGTAGATTTGGTGCTCAGGACTCTTGGCTTTGCTATTAAAATATTTACTTATTTTATGGAGATGAAATTTTAAACATTTATTTTTTAATGAAAAGTATTAACTGAATAAAGATCCTGGGGAAAGCGCGGGCTTCCTCCTGCGCAGGCTCGTGGGAGAAGCCGCAGGAGAAACTTGTATCTCCCCATCCGTCCCACGGCCGCCTGAGCCCCAGTCTTAGAAGGCGCGTGTTCAGCATCATCTGTAGGAATTTCATCGTGGAAAACACTGTGCTCTTTGCGGGCTCCGTTTCAGAGAGGTGCATGTGAAGTGGGGGACCTTACTTAACACAGTGACTCATATGTTCCCACCCTACACGTCCATGCAGATGACCGTCACCACGACGGTGACGTGAGGCGCCTGACGCACACGGTGCCCCTCCTCGCACCACGGGGAGGAGACGGCTGTGCTCCCTCCAGCGTGACTCATTTGCTTCATGAGTTTCTCGAGGAGCCACAGCTGCCCATGTCCTGCAGTCAGAGATGACACAGTGACTGGGTTCAGAAAACCTGGAACTCTGCTGTTTTTCATTACCTGCCCTCATAGGCTTATTATGAGAATCAAAGAAATATACATATTTAAAAAAGGAACAGTGGTAGCACCTGAGTTTCTTGACGTTCGTAGTAACTGGGAGGCCGCTCAGGGGGCCTGGAAGTCTGAACACCTGAAGAGTAGTCTGGCTCTGTCACTGACTGTGATCTTATCAAACACGGCGATCTGGGTCTCAGTTTGTTCACGTATAACATGAAGGCCCTGAACGAAATCTCCGAGGGCATTTCTGGCTTCGAACGTTTGTGCTACACAGCTGACTGAACACCTGTGAACATGTCTGCTGGCTTGTTGGTAAGTGTGTTATGTATTTTACAGGTCGATATGCACATACACAGTTGATTCTCGTTACTCATGGTAGCTTCATTCTATAAAGCTGCCGTGAACACTGATTTAGCACACACTGACCCACTGCGCCTGGGATAATGCAGGATTAGGTTCCCGTGAGCCCCTGGCCTTAGCGTTTTTGTCAGCCGATAAGGACATAACCTTGTTTCCCGTGCACTTCTGTTTAGAGACACATACGTACTAGATCCCGTGGACCAATCGCACTGAACGCCCGGCCACAGCGCTACAGCTCAGGCCCGGGCGAGCTCGTCTCGCCCACACGGCATCCCCGAGAGGCGCTCACAGCACTTCCACACTCAGGACGCCAGGCAGCGCGTCAGCACGTGCTCGGGGCATTTTTACCAGGGCAAAAAAGGCACATAAACGCAGGAACATAACACTTAAGTAGACCACGAAAAAGCCAGGGTCTCTTTGTTTGACCTCAGCGGAAACGTGTTCTGGCTGCTCTGCTCAAGCGCATGTCTGCGGAGGCCCATGAAAGCACCTTGAGCACAGATTCTAGGGTTACAAAAGATATTAGTGAGTGGGCAGATTCCCAGATGCAGGACCCACAAATAATGTGCATTGACTGTATATGTCTATTAAAACCACTGATAATAAACCCGTGAGGCTTAGGTGTGATGACGCACAGGGAGACAGTTTCAATCACAACAAGCGCTGTACATAGTGTAGTAACTACTCGCATTAGCTGACTCCCGACTGTCCCCGGGTCTGAAGTGGCGCCAGAGTGGGTCCTGTCTGGCCATGCGGGCCCAGGGCCCGCCCGCTGCACCCCACTCTCTGCTTACCGGGCCGGCCTGCTCTCTCTTCAGCCTGAGTCGCCTCACGAGTCCAGCTTTTCCTGGGCTTCCTAGGAGAGCCTTCAAGATTCTGGGTGTCTCTGGTTTGGCGGGGAAGCGCAAGGCGAGTCCTCTTCTTGGAGAGGTCGCCTCTGTGGCAGGAGCCTTCTTCCTGAGCAGCACTCTGCGGATGAGAGAGAAAGGCTGCTTTAGATGGCACTGTGAGTTCTGGAAAAACCTCGTGCAAGTAGTCATTTCTCCCGATCTGTGGAGCCTTTGACGGATGACCGTGTACACAGTCGTTTGTCACGTGTGTGTCATGGAGAAAGATCACGGCCAAACAGTTCTCCTCTCAGACGGTACAGAGTAAAACCCGCTCCTGTCTGGTGGGGTTTGAAAGGCTGTACCTGGCTTTCTTCATGAGGAGCTTTTCAGAATCTGGGTAACGCAGAAGAATTTCTCGGAGGGTCTTTTTGTCCAGAGTTAGAAGGTTGGCGAAGCCGTGGGCCACCACGTCGGCAGTCCGACGGTTCCCCCCTGTCGCTGCAAGAAGGCTGAAGAGACAAAGGCGTGCCTGTCACCATTTCACTCTTCCTCAACCGAACTCTTAAAACGTGAGCTCAAACCCACTGCCATCCACACCACCCCAGAGATTACTTGCTGGAGGAAACAGTGTGGGTGACCGTGCACGCGTCGCGATGTGCTGGCCGCACAGTGGCAACAGTTTTCCCCAGGTTTTGCCTCCGACTCCCTCCTCACATCAAGGCCGTGGAGCCCTCGGTGGCCCGAGACCCCTCCCCAGACTCCGGAGAGCAGCCTCTTTGGACGGGGTGTCCTCCACCTCCCCTTCCTCCCCGCTCCATCCGCCCCGCCCCCGTTCCTGGCAGCCGGCTCGGTGGCCTTGCCCTGACTTCCATCTGGCTTCGGCCATCGGGAAACGGCAGTGGGCAGGAGGCGAGCAGGAGGACACGGGGCTGGAGCACCTACCCCCACCCTGTCCCTGCCAAGCCTCCGTCAGCAGTGGCTCCTGCCGGTGGCCCTGTCCTGAAGCGCAGCTCTCCCTGGTCACCTGCCCTCGCCTCGTCCTGGCTTAGCTGTGGAAACAGCTCCCTGGCTGTCACTAGTTTCCTGGTGTCACCGTTCTTCTTGGGTCCTTTTAAATCTCCCTTCACTCGTACGAGTCACCTCTCTCCTAACGTCTCCCAGCCACCGTGCTTGGGTGCACATCCTGTCTTCTGCCGGGCTCGGCCTGACGCAGCTCTGACGTCAATCCATAACGGTGCCTGGGGACATCAGGAGAATCCAAGCTCGTCCCTTATCAATGCCTAAATCATCTCCAGGCGAATCCAACCTCGTCCCTTATCAACTCCTAAATCATCTCGTTCCTCGACACCACAAACCACTCCAGTACAGTCATTCAGACGCAACTTCCCACACGGAATGTCACTGAATTCTGGGCTTTCTGTCTGTCCAAGACATAGCTGGGCGTTTTGCATTTGGGAAGCGACCAACAAACACTTAGCGAATAAATGAACCCACGAATGAATAAAGCGAGTACAAATTCAATTGCTCACCAGTGATTTGGAAAACGAGGGCTGCTCTTTGAAACCAAGGCAAGAAAAAACACATTTCCAATGTTTGAAAAAACACTACAGGCTCTGCACTGAGAAGATAACACGACTGATCGAATCTCTTGGCGTCAACCAGTTAGACACAAAGAGAGAAGGCTCGCGTTAACAGAAACACAATCTCCGGGTGGAAAAGACAGAGAAAGATCCTGCAAACAGAAATGTCCCCGTCTTCACAGTCCTGTGGAGCTGTGAGGAGGTCACAGGTTCTGTGCCTGAAGGTTTATGGTAGACAACGTGCACTTCCCCAGCTGCTGTCACCGGCAAGAGAACGTTCCGACTGGCTGTCAATGTTAAGAAATTAACATGAAGAACAGTGGGACGATTTTAAAAGGGATCCATGGGATCTACATAAGCACACAGCATTTTCTAATACTAGAAGACTTGAAGTAATAATGACAAAGAACTTTCTGAACTTAATGACAGACACCAAACTGTAGCTCCGGAAAACTCAGAAAATATCAAGAATACCAAAAAAACTGTTCCTAGGCGCATCCCATTCGAACTGTAATAAATCAGAGAGAAGAGAAACTCTGGAGGAGAGCTGGAGCGGGGCGACCTCACTCTAGAGGAAGAAGAATTCCAGCCGCCTTTCCGTCAGAAATCACGCGCGAGACGAGAGCGAACGAAATACAAGCGTCCTCGACCTAGAATTCTACGTACAATGAGATTATCCTTCAAAAGCGAAGGAGCCTCAAAGATTTCGTCAGACAAACAAAAACTGAGGGACTTCACCGTTCGCAGAGCTAGAAATGTCGAACGGAGGAAGATGATACCGGTTAGAAATCCGGGTCTCTGTGAAGAGTGGAGATCACTGGAGAAGGCAAACACAGGTAAAACAAAACTAAAATCTTAATTTCTCTTATTAGTTGATCTAAAAGATAACTTTCGATAATAAAGCAACAATGCATTGGGTGATTACAGCCCGCGGGTAAGAGAAATGAATGACACCCATGTCCCACGGGCTGGTCAGGAAGAACCGAGGAAACTGTCACGAGGTCCCTACGCACACGTGGGGCGGCACACGTGGGGCGGCACAGCGCTATGTGAAGGGAGACTTAGATTAGTTTAAAATGCGTATTGCAACTCTAGGGCCACCACTAAACTCTTTCGAAAATAAGTATAACTGGTATGTTAAGACAGGAGAGAAAACGGAATCACATAAGATGCTCCATTAAAACCAGGGAAGGCAGGAAAAGGGGGAAAGCGTAACGCAAGGCCACCTTAAGGCATCAAAGAGGGCCTCTTCCCTGCACTTCGCGTTCAATTTGGGTCCAGGACCACCCAGGCAGGCCACTTCAGAATGCACTATCCCTCCAAGACAGAAAGCCCGTGCTCAGACTCTATAAATGCTGACCATGTTAATACCGATTTATTTTGCTCAGTGATTTCATCTTTTAAATGTCTTGCTCCAAGGTAAAAATTACTGACTTTTTCATCCTTTCCTGAGGTTGTCCCCAAGAGAGGCTCTGTCATCAACCCTTCTATAGGAAGAGAAATGAATTTCTCTCTCTTTCTCTCTCTCTCTATCATCTATCCATTTGTCATCACAATCATCTCTTCAGTCACTCAACTTCCCATCTTCCTATCTTTCTATGAAATGGATGTTAATACGTGAAGGGCAATGATTGGACAAGCCTACTCCATTCGTGTTCTGTCGCCCTGGACACAGGGAATCCAGGAGTCAGGACGGGATAGACGGCACGGGTTGGGGCAGCTTAATTTGGGCCTGAGAATGTCTCCGTGCGTGTCAGACTATGAGAGCAGAACAGAAATAACATATGTAAATGTCAGCTTTTTTTGAGATTTCTCAAGCTTTAATTAAACTTGCCTACAGGTTACATGTTTGGAGTGCTTGATGAGTTTTTGAACGGAAGAAATAGTTTGCCAGATGGATTTTGCCCAAACTCTCAGCAATGTTTAAAATAGCATCTTCTCCCCACTTCCCATCCACAGAATGCTTCCCCAGCATTCCACCAATGGAAAATTTTACTTGTTAAACAGCTTAGTAAGAAGGTCTTTAAACATTCCCAACCCGTACAGAGTTTCTGAAAGAGCACGTGCTGGAGGACAAACGCTTGAGGGTGATGACAAGTGTCCCCAGGTCAAAAGCAGTGACGAGAGCACAAGGAAACACAGGGAAGGGTCTAATTCCAGACTCTCTTCTGTTTGCTGTGACCTCAGATAACAACTTAAAGACCTTTTCGATTTTCACTCCGATCACGTGAGTATTTATTATGTGCCTGCCACGTATTCAGCACTGTGACGTGAAGGCAGAGAGGAATTATTACGGCTCGGTATAGGCTTTGTGGAAAGAATATGAGTGTTGGAATCGGATAACTCTATCATTTATTTAGTATATTTCTGAGCAGTTACTTGACCTCTCTTTTAGAAGCAAGGTCACCTTTTAATGCCTACTATAGACATCTGGTCATCTTTAGGGAGAAATAACTATTTATAGACTCCTGATATTCAATTATCAAAAAGATGCTATTAGGTAAAATTTCTGGCTTAGAAGTTTTAAACTTTAATTTAATGTAACAAGGAACAGTAAGTATAATGACTTTGTTACTCAGGGTTCTCCAGAGAAATGGAACCAGCAGTGGGGACAGATATGTACACCTAGAAACTGGCTGCTGAGGTCATGGAGGCTGAGAGGCCCCACCATCTGCTGTCTGCGAGCCGGAGGCCCAGGAGGGCCGCAGCTGCCATCCAGCCTGGGTCCGTAGGCCGGAGAAGGGGAGAAGGGGAGCCCAGGGTGTAAGTCCGGTGGGCTCCAGAGCCCAAGAAGACGGCGTGCTGACGTGTGACGGCGGAGGGCAGGAGGAGGAGAGAGCGCGTCTGACCTCTCTCCTCCGTCGTATGCTGTCCAGGCCCTCACAGAGCGGATGATCCCGTCCAAATGGGTGAGGGCGACCTTCACTCAGCCAACTGATGGAGTCTACTCATCTCTTCTGAAACGCCCTCCCAGACGTGCCCAGACTCATCTCATCAGCCATCTAGGCATTCCTACCTAGCCTGGTCAAGGTGACATGTCCCACGAACCATCACAGGACTGGTGTGCGAAGGTGGAGAAGCGAATGCCAGCGGCTGGGGGAGACCTGGATGTGCAAACTCTGTGAACGTCAGGGATGGCAGCGACGCGCGGGGAGAGAGAGAGCGTGTGTGCGTGTGCGCGTGAGCGTGAGCATGCATGCGAGTGTGCGCGTGTGAGTGTATGTGCACACACGAAACTGCTGCAAGGCAAATGCATGCTACCTAGGATTTATTCCCTTTTTTGGTTACACAGAGGAGGATCTGCACGCCTGGGTTCTTATCAGAGTTGGCGCAGACGTCACAGATACAAACACGCAGCCCTTCCGCCCCCAGCAGGGCTTGACTTCGGGCTTGAATAGGCCTTAGAGGAAGTGGATGAACAATGAAGGAGCTAGGTAAAAATTCTAAGAAAGGAGAAAGGGGAAAAAGGGATAACATGTACTTTTTATTCCGTGCCCTGTTCATTCATGTCCTTTCAAGTGCCCAGGAAAACACTCTGCTATGATACTCAGGCTAGAAAATACTGTATCAAACAAACTAACATACCAGCTTCACTGTTTCTCTGGAGTCACAACAGCTAACAAGGTCATATATCAATGACCACGACAACCTAGAGAGATACATTCTTACCTATACTTATCAACATGGACACTGCGGTCCACATCAGTGAAGCGACTTATTCGAGAACAAATATTTAGGCGGCTTACTGTTGACATTCGAATCCAAGACCGGAGCTGACTTCAAGTCACAAGGGCTTTTCTTTACACCCTAAATAACTCCAGTGCTGCTAATGAAGTCGTCGCTGTTGCTTTAATGCAGATTTACCCACAGACAAAACAAGGGGTAAGTATGGTAGGGCTGGTGGCCGGCCGTGCTGGGGTCTGACTCGG